GATCCACCCGCCTCGGCCTCCCACAGTGCTGGGATTACAGGCTTGAGCCACCGCACCCGGCGAAATTACCCTTTTAATGCCTCAGTCTCTTTATCTGTGAAATGGAGCTAATAATAGTACTGCCTCTATAGGATTGTTATAAGGATTAAATTAATAATATAAACTTCTTAGAACAGTGCTTGAAACATAGTAAGCCATGTCTAACTATTTTTAAAGCAAACCTATTTGGCTGTACTTGATCCTTCCCTTTCTTGGGGACTTTATAACTTGAGTACTTTTAGTACTCTGATATGACTGGCACTGGAATTTTCATTATGCTTTTAGACCAGTAATTTTAGTTTTAGCACCAAGTACAATAATTATTTTATAACCATTTCTAGTCTAGCATTTTTGCTTAGCCATAAATTCCATTTAGTCTAAAATATCCCTAACTTTGCAGAAAACTTGTACCTTCAGGGGTCACCACCCAATTATAGTTGAACAAAAGATGTTTCTTCCTTTTCAATTCTGTAGGCTTTTCTTGGCTTGCATTTCCATAACATAATATTGTTATTTGGTAGTTGAATGTCAGTCAGCTCTACAGAAAAATAAATACCAGTGATCTTGCTAAACCTGTGTGCCAAATCATTCCTGAACTAGGGGATTGGGCCAGATAATCTTTGGAAGCTCTGTTTTTCTGTGGTTTTCATAAAATGAAAATAGCTCAGAAATGAGAGGTTCTAGATTTAGCACTATGTGAACTGGGCCTGGTTGCTTTGTGAATCATGGGCAATTGAAACAGTTTGAACTCAGCCATATTATTTGGAACAGTTTAGATCCATATTCAGGTTTAACAAGAATGAAACCTGTTTGAACTGTGGACAGGCTGTCAGCACCCTTCTAGGCTCAGCTTTTCACTTCTCTTTCTGAGACCTTGACTCATTTGTATATAACTATATGAAAGCCTCTTTAGAAAGGACTGCAAACACCCCGACTAGTGTTTGTTAAAATCTCCTTAAGTTTATTCTACATATGATTCATTAATAAACACCTTCTACAGTCTTTACCTTAGTTATGGTCCCATAATTCATGCATTTATTCATCCAGTAAATATTCACTGAGGGTTTAACATGTGCTAGGAATTGTGCTAGTGCTGACCACTTAGTTGTCCAAGTTAGAAACCTAGGAGATGGGCCAGGCGCGCTGGCTCATGCTTGTAATCCCAGCACTTTGGGAGGCCAAGGCCGGAGGATCGCCTAAGGCCAGGAGTTTGAGACCAGCCTGGCCAACATGGTAAAACCGTGTCTCTAGTGAAAATGCTGAAGTGAGCTGCTTGTGGTGGTGCATACCTGTAACCCCAGCTAATCTGGAGGCTGAGGCAGGAGAATCACTTAAACCTGAGAGGCGGAGGCTGCAGTGAGCCAGGATTGTGCCATTACACTCCAGTCTGGGCAATGGAGTGACTCTGTCTCAAAAAAAAGAAAAAAGAGAAAAAAGAAACCTAGGATCATCTTAAACACACCCCCCTCATTCACTCCCCACATTAGGTCAGCCACCAAATTGGTGCCAATACTGCCTTCTGAATATCTCTTGCAGTTTTGTTCTCTCTTCACTTGCTCTTGGTGCCACTATGTCAGTGAAGGTGGTCCAAGCCCAGCTACCGTAGAAAACCGGGCACGAAGCAGTCTGTTCAGGATGGGGAGGGGCAATGGAAGATGGAACACAGTGAGATGCACTGTTATACTGTTTACCGTTGTGCAGTCATACAGCACATCACTCCGCAGGCATGGGACATCTCTGGAAAGGTTAACAAGGAAGAACTCCATCTTGGACTATTCCACATGAGAAAAAAGAGTGTGTCTCCCTGTCTCTCTCCTGGATCCATTTGTCGCTGGTGAAGCTTTACCCCATAGAGGGCTAAACATCTCTAACTTCTGGATTGTGTCATCTGGCCGTTTGGTGGCTCTCAAGAAGGCTGATCCCAAGCCCAAGGCGGGGTACTTGTTCCAACTTCAAAAGTAAAGCAACAGGCACTCTGGAGATCTGAGAAAGTACACAAGGTTTGTTTCTCAATCTAAACAAAAACTCAGATTTTTCCTTCAGATTCTTGCAAACGCCTGCTAAGAGGACTTTGTAAGTCCTTTGTAAGGACCTCTCACTTACTCCCTTCTAATCCATTCTTTACACTGCACCTAGAGTGAACTTTGCCAGACTCAAATCTTTCACTAGCTATCCTTAAACTCCCGGATACACTCTATGATCTCTCCTTGCCTGCCTTCCAGTCCTCTTGTTAAAGAGAATTTTTACCAATTGAATCAGATGCTCATTCCTCTCAAGCTCATTGTTAGCATTTATTGTCTTACTTTTATTTTATTTATTTATTTATTTATTTATTTATTTATTTATTTATTTATTTATTTTGAGACGGAGTTTCACTCTTGCTACCCAGGCTGGAGTGCAATGGCGTGATTTCGGCTCACCGCAACCTCCGCCTCCTGGGTTCAGGCAATTCTCCTGCCTCAGCCTCCTGAGTAGCTGGGATTACAGGCACGTGCCACCA